ACTAATTTATTATTCCAAAGGCCACATCACTGAAGCCTTTTCATATAGATGAAAAGTATCAATATTCTGGTGAGTCAAAAATGAAGAAGAAGAGTACCATGTACTCTTTTAATAAACATATTCACAATTTCACTTTTCTGCCACTGACCCCCTTATAAGGTCTTCTCCTTCCCTGCAAGATGTTTCAGAAGGGTGAAGGAGCAAGATTGCAGTGACAGTCAGTCCTCAAAAGGTTTAGATGTTGGGCAAGCTATTTTTGTAAGTCTGCAAAGCCATCTGATATTTTTTTCTTGTGTATAGATGATGTTTATACACATACGCATACACACATGTTGGTTTCCTAATCAGTCAATACCATTGCCAAAAATTCTGTATCTTCACACAGAGTGATTCATGCAGTATGTATGTGAAACAGTATTTTCTATGATTATACCTGAGAGAATTTTCTAACTGGTACATTATGGAATTTTATTTGGCGTTATTCTTTATGTACCGCATTGAGGAATTTCATTAAAGCTCAAAACAGTACAAAAATAAAATCATAAATAAATGCATCTGCTTACATCATTTGTAATCCATTGCTTTGTAACTCTCCTCGCTGTAATCAAGTTTCAGTTGATTTCAAAGACTCTTGACGTAACAGCTACAATCAAGAGAAGTAATATCTACAATTTTTCCTTCCACACAGTGTTACAACATGCTGCTTGAGTGGTTTAGAAATGCAAAATAAGACATGTAATGCGAGAGAATATAACGTCCCATGGTGTATATACACCTTTTGCAAAAATAGGCTCTCTGGATAATAGCTAATGCATTTCAGGCAGAATTGCCAATGTCATTGCTGAATAAAGTAGAAGTACTTCATGTATAGAATTTCCATATGTAACAAAGGTTCTGACAATTCTAGTAGATTTCTTCATCATTAACTTATACAGAACTGATAGTTAACTCTGTACATCAATAAAAATAAATTGTGGAATGAAATTAAGAAATATTTGTTAAAAGGCGAAAAGTTAAAACTATCACTGCTTGGTAGAATATCAGTGATAAAAATCAACATACTAGAATGATGTTTCTATTTCAGACAATACCAATATTGAAAAATGATGTACCTTTTAAATAATGGCAAAAAAATTATCAAAGTGTATATGGCAGGGGAAAAAAACAACAACACTAAAATATAAGATTTTACAAGATGCAAAAGGGGGGGGAGGGAGGGAGGAGAATTAAATCTTAAATTATACTTTGCTACATGTTGTTTAGTATGGATGAAGGAGTGAATATTGTTAAAAAATAACAGAATCTTGGATTTGGAAGATCACAATCAGAGGTTTGGGTAGCATGGTTTCTTATGGTATGACAAATGAAAGTGAATGTAGATTTTAAGAATCATTACCTGAAAAATACATTATCAAGAATATGGAATAAATATAACCCAGACTGTGTCCAAAGATATCATTATTGATACCCACACAAGAAGCTTTTTATAGAAGAGAAATAGCAGATAAAAGAAAGATGGTTAACATCTGATGATCTATTATTACAAGATAAGGGAGAAATTAAGATGAAGACAAGAGAACAATTAGCAACAGAGGGACATTCTTTTCAATGGTTTTCTTACAATCAGATGAAAGAGAGGTTTAACAAGGACAATAGGACAATTAGACTCGAGAAGAGGAAAGCTGAATTTGAAGTAGAGTTATGCAAATTTTGGTTATAATATAAATATGAATATAAGGGAGAAAATGTGGGAAACTGGTGTTAAATTTACATTATGTCATAATTTGAGAACTTTTATAAATGATGTATCGATGGCATATACCAGTTAAATTGTCAAAAACGTATAAAGGAATATCAAATCAGTGTTGGAAGTGTGAAAAGGAAGAGGGAACTTTTTATTATGCATGGTGGACTTGTGAAAAAGCAAAAAAAGTTTAGGTGCAAATTCGTACAGTGATCCAAAAGAAATTGCGGATTAATATTACAATCAAACTGGAATTATTTCTATTGGGTTTTATGGATGATGAACTAGAAAAGAAATATGAAAAACTAATATTATATATGATAACCCTAACTCTAATTGTACACCCAAAGATGGAAGAATAATGAAATACTCACAATAGAAGATTGGGTTATAAAATTGATGGAGCTTGCGGAAATGGCAAAGCCAGTTTGGTCAGGGAAAAAATGATAAAGACTTTTTAAAAAGACTGGAAGGCATATGGACTTTTTGTTGAAAGAAGAAAAGACTGATGATTTATGGATTTGGGATTAAAAGGGTCCAAGAGGAAGGGAAAGAATAAGATGGCAATGACTTGATAGAAAAAAGAGTGTAAGTAATATTCTATATTTTATTCTTTTTTCATTTCTATTTTCTTATTTTCTATATTCTTATTTCTTATTCAATTTTATTGCATTGAAAAATTCTAATAAAATATTTTTTAAAAAATAAAGTTCTGTCGATAGGGTTATGATCTAACAATGTTTAAGCTCAGTGGTTAAAAGTTTAAGCACTGTTGATCATTATTCCATTCACTAGGGTATAGGGATTTTAACAAGAAATCCTATATGCCTGGGGAGATGGTAGCAGAAATATATGCAGGGACAGCCACAGTGAGTAAGAGGGGAGTCAAAGGCAAAATGGCAGTCACAATATCACAACTGAAGCCCCCCCCCCATGTAATTGTATACAATATTGATGAATGCTCCTAAGTGCAGGGCTTCAATTTTATTTATTTTCCATAAATAACAGCTAACATCCTGCGACCTTTAATATTATTAAACAACATCTGCCTATCCCAAGTTCTTGAGAAGGATGCGACAGGTGGACAAAAATGCCAAATCCATTCTAAACATCTGGCTGACTGTGCAACCAACCATAATAATAATTTATTAAACTTGTATGCTGCCCAACTTGCATTGACTCTGGGCAGCAAATAACAAACAAACACATGAAATCACAATCAAATCAATAAAGCATAAAAGATGGCAAGTGCTATAAAGTGAGGCGTTTCACTTTTCCTTGCCAAAGACCTGGATGATGAGTTAGGTCTTCACAGCTCTTCTAAACAATAGCAGAGTGGGGGCCATCTAGATCTATTTTCCAATTAGAATTAAATTCTATATCAGATTTACTTTTTAAATACAAAGTTATTCTAGATATCAAGCCATACTCCCACAATTTAGCCATTTTTCTGAAAAGAGAATCAGAGATCTTTTCCAATAAAAGGTACATAAAACCCTGACAGCCATTAATAAATGCAATGGTATTTCTATGTATTTTGAAGGGAATACATAGTTTAGTGAATTTAATAACAATACGTCAAGCAATGGGATTACAACTTTCAAAATGTGTTCTGTTCTACCAAAAAAAAAAAAAAAATCCAGTGTTGTTGTACTTTACAACCACAGGGATTCATGTTTCAATGTTGTTAGCATCTCGCCAAGTTTGACCCTCTCCTATGAATGCTTGAAAATCTGGAAAGGCCCTAGAAGCAAATAACTAGAGTGGTACAAAACTGAGGAGACAGTAACTTCTATATTGTTGAAGATATACAGAATTAGGAATCTTATGGAAAAAAGGTATTGCCAACTTCATATTATAAAACTTCTGTAAGTTTTGAAAGCTTGTATCTTATGCATTGTACAAGCTATCATTCCATATCTTTGCTAAAGATCATTGGTTGCCCTCTCCCCTCTTTGGAAGAACTTTATAGTTCCG